TTAAATTGAGTTTTACTGTGCGTATTACTGTGTGTTTGTTTTTTCTACATTGGCTAGAGATATAGGGGAAGGGTTGAGATCTCAAAAAACATGTTTAACCCCGCCGCATTTTTGCGCCTGTCAGGAGCCTCTGGCCTTTGTTATTCTTGTATGATTTTTAATTTTTGTTTCTTTTATATATTTCGGAGTTTAGTATGACGTCCATTATTACTGAACTAGTACATATTTTTGATTAGGGGCCAGCTGAAGCACGCCTCCGGGTGCGGGATTTTCTCGCTGTATTGAAACCCCATTAATGGCCTTCGGCTGTTTTCTGCTCTATGGTCGGTTTGTTGTCTCTTTGACATATTCCCCATTTCCATTCTCAATTTCATCTTCACTTATGCTAAGGCCTACTTTCGAGAAATTAAAGAACACTGTATATATAAATATTACAATAGAGAAATAGTATTTAGTTTCAACTGTAACAGCAATGTCTACAGTGAACATGGCATGGTAAGTTAAACAAGAATGTGTCCGTAGTACACGGATGCCCATCTCGCACTATCATTTTCTATGTTCAGTGGACCGTGAAGTTTGGGTCAAAACTCTAATTTGGCATTAAAATTAGAAATATCATATCATAGGGAACATGTGTACTAAGTTTCAAGTTGATAGGACTTCAACTTCATCAAAAACTACCTTGACCAAAAACTTTAATCTGAAGCGGGACAGACAGACGAACGGACGGACTGACGGACGAACGAACAAACGAACGAAAGGACGCACAGACCGAAAAACATAATGCCCCTCTACTATCGTAGGTGGGGCATAAAAATACAGAAGAGAGGCAAAGAAAGCTTTTAACGTTTGATTAAATTTGTTTGGAACGTGAAGGTTTATATTATTATATAAGTTATAATTTGCTGTTACAAAATGTTGGAAATTATTTTAAATTAAGTAATATATCTCCCTCATGCAAAGCCCTGATTCTTTTTTCAGACTTTGGCTATACTTCTTGTCCTATTTTGTTTTATCAGCTCTTCAATTTTTGAATAAGTTTTGAATTTTCAAATATTTCGGCCTCGAGCATCATTGAAGAGTCATTAATTGTCGAAATGCGCATCTGCTGCAGCAAAATTGATACCGTTAATGTTATTGAATAACCATCGTCTTTTGCAATTATTAGATTTTATCAAAATTCTAAAACTAGTATTGCAATAAACTAGACAAATTGGTTGCATTTTTAAAGTTCTGGTAAATGCTCATAAGGAAAAAAGAAACATGCTGGTTTATAAACAAGGGAGATGTCGTATAATTACCAATGACACAGCTTTCCATCATAATTCAAATAAAGTGGATATAAGTATTTATAGATCACTATACAGCCTTTAACATGAGAAAAAATACATATAGTATACAGTCATCTATAAGAGGCCCGACATGAAATTGTGAAACAATTCAAACGAGAAACCTAATTTATAACAATACACTTTACGAAAAACAGTTATGACAGACATAAACTAACGACAACCACTGAATTACAAACTCTTGACTCAGGACAGGCACATAAAGAATGTGGCGGGGTTAAACATGGTAATTATTTCATTTTGAAATTTAGTCAAAATTTCAAATAACATGATGTGTAAAAGAAGTATTTACTTGATCATAATTGACTCGGCGCTTTTTTTTTTTGAAAGATAACTGTCTACAAAAAAATTTACTGTAAAAACAGAATTCATGTATTTTGTCACATCATCCATTGGATTCGTTGATACATCTGGAAAAAGTCCAAACATCAAGACTTTAAACTATAAAATTGAGAATGGAAATGGGGAATGTGTCAAAGAGACAACAACCCGACCACAGAACAGACAACAGCAGAAGGCCACCAACAGGTCTTCAATGCAGCGAGAAATTCCCGCACCCGGAGGCGTCCTTCAGCTGGCCCCTAAACAAATATATATACTAGTTCAGTGATAATGAACGCCATACTAAACTCCAAATTGTACACAAGAAACTAAAATTAAAAATAATACAAGACTAACAAAGGCTAGAGGCTCCTGACTTGGGACAGGCGCAAAAATGCGGCGGGGTTAAACATGTTTATGAGATCTCAACCCTCCCCCTATACCTCTAGCCAATGTAGAAAAGTAAACGCATAACAATACGCACATTAAAATTCAGTTCAAGAGAAGTCCGAGTCTGATGTCAGAAGATGTAACCAAAGAAAATAAACAAAATGACAATAATACATAAATAACAACAGACTACTAGCAGTTAACTGACATGCCAGGTCCAGACTTCAATTAAACTGATTGAAAGATTATGTCTTCATCATATGAATATCAGGCACAATCCTTCCCGTTAGGGGTTTAGTATCATACCATCATAACATATATGAGAAGAACATAACCCGTGTCATTTCGGACGACTCAGGAGCACAGAACATTTAAAAAAAACTCTAAGTATAAAAAAAAAAAAAAAAAAAAAAACAAGAAAAAAAGGGAAAAAGACAGAAAGTGAAAATTTGAGTGGCATGATACGTCCAGATGCAAACATTAGTCAGTTTATCACATAGTCGCCGTTCGCACAGCTAAAACTCGTATTTTGTCATGGTTAAAAGTGTCGACGACTGCTCAGTCTGCTGTAATTTCCTATGCAAACAATCAGACATAATACCGAAAAAAGTGCGCTGATACTCCGTCGTTATTCTCCAGATCAGACCCTCTTTAATCAGTTATCATTAATGTCTAAACTAAAAGATGTTGAAATTCCTATCCTGTACCAGTTGACATTCTTTATTAATTAATCAAATCTTGTTCAAAGCATTCAACACGACAAGTTTGTAATATCTTGCTTGGTCCTGTCAGTCCAAAATATTTGTCAAAACAAACTTGCAGTACTGATCGTAATCAAGAAAATTAACTTTAGTCGATGGAATTAAATAACACAAGTAATAAATCTATATATATTTAAACACATTGAAACAAGATTATATTTGCGACTGAAAACTTTTAATTAGTTTTTGGTTTTACCAGTGACATATCTACTTGTCTTGAATGATTTCGTCCTGACATTATAGTACACATCCTTTCATTCATGGTATTGTCCGTCTTTCTAATACTAAGGTCATCTAAGGTGTCTTTAATTGTTTTCCAGACTTGGCATACACGTATCTGTTTACCATAAGTCTAGCATTCGTGGGTTGAAAGATCAATTAAAAGAAAGTCTGACTTGTAACATGGACGAATGCGGGTGGGATAACATCAACGTGAATGTATAAAATCTTATTAACATAATATTATCTTTACAAAATTACTATACGTTTAGATTTATAATATTCGTACACATTCATGCACGACCAGGACATTTTTTCGTCAATTGGACCTACCTTTCGTTTAATGAATTTGTTATGTTATGTTATGTTGTATTTGTTACAGTGTATGATTATAGTATTCAAGGGGATACACGAATCTACAATTACTTATAATAACTTATGTTTTAATTAATAAAGATTTAAGGCATACGTCCATGAGATATCAACCAAACGACAAAACACCCATACCCGATACCTCCACCCCTCCCCCCCAAAATAAACCGATAACGAAAAAGACGAAAAGAAAAGAAACATACAAACAAACAAAAGACACCCAGATGACAATTAACGGTATTCAACAATAGACACGTTTCTTGACAAAACATCATATCGAGCTTTAAAAGGCCCTTTGTAAATAAATTTACCAAAGACTATCCAAGACCTGCCAATATCCCCAACTTGATGTTATATCAATTTTTGACATTTTTACCTATTATGTCTGTTTGTTTTGTTCACACATTGTTGTAAATATAATGGAATTTTACGCGACTGTCATACAAGTGAGTGGTTTAGCTAGCTTAAGCAACCTTTTTCGTCAAAATAAGGAAATGCCTGTACCAAGTCAGGAATATGACAGTTGTTTTCCAGTTGATTGATTTGATTTTACCATTTGATAAGGGACTTTCCGTTTTGAATTTTCCTTTGAGTTCGGTATTTTTGTTATTTTACTTTTTATAGTCCATGCTATTAATTTATAGATATAAAGTTTGCTGCTGTCGAAGAAACACAAGGCTTAAGTTATTCACGGTCAATTTTGTTCTGTGTAATATTTTGTGGATTATAATTTTCTTCCATCTTTCTTCCCTTTGTCAAGTTGTTGCCTAACTTTGACTTCTGATTTTCCATCCTTTTTTATCTCCTTTTATATCTTCTCAATTTTCTCATAATGATCCTTCTTAAAGGGGCACTAGTTATGAGATATGAAAAAAAATTAGAATATGATTTCGTTTGGTTCAATCATTAATAAAAGTGAAATAATGAAATAATAATTCGTTTTTAGCAGCCAATTTGGTATAATTTTGTCAAAATAAGCAAAGAAATGTCGCTGATGAATTATTCACTTGCAAGTGAATAATTCGACCTCATTAAATCCGTATTCATGTGACCTTCAATTTAACCCATTAGCTAGAGATTGTTTACGCATGCATATGTCGTGTTCAGCCATTAAAAGGAAAAGAATGTCAACATTGAAAGTGAAACAAAGGTGAACCATTTAGTTGACTGATTCGATCCACAAAAAATCATTCTTATACAGGTAAAAACGTTAATTAACTTATTTTTTTAACCTATAACATGAAATCAAACAGACCTATAAAATCCAGTTGCACGAGGTCGCAATCTATTTATATTTATGTTTATATCGGGTTATAGCGTCGGTAGTATTCGAAGGTCATCTCGATAGTTAATTAGATGGCATCTAGACTAAAATACACAAGAAATTCTGAGATATATTATCGAGTACATGCTTTCTTAACTGTTTATTTCAGACTTATTGTAATTTTGACATAAGTTTTAGTATGTTATAAATCAAATATGAGAATTTGAGTCAAATCTGTGAACATGAATTTGACAGCTAGTGCTCCTTTAAGTATCTTTAAATATCCTCTATGACAGTGAATAACTTTTGTCTATTAACCGCCTTCGTTGTCTCATAGTGGTATCATCGTCTCGTGCGTTTGATTCCCGACCAAGTCAAACGTAAAACACAGTCATCGATCAATCCATCCATCCAAGTGTTTTTGTGACTAATATACTTAGTTTTATCAGGGCATGAACTAATATATGTGTATGTTTGAACTTGTTGCGTAGGAAAAGGTAAACGCTTTTATTCATTCATAATTTACCTATAAATAGTGCACACCGGTAAAAGCGTAGGAAGAAAGTTTATAATATTAAAAGCCCGAGTATCGTTTGAAATTTATCAGTCGAATATTTTTTTGAAGTGAAGATAACGTAAAATATTGCAAACATGTCTCACGGAAGGGAAGATATGAAACAACTTTTCCAATCAATTGATACTAGTGGTGAAGGCAAGGTACAGGTGTCAGAACTGAAGGCCGGAATAAAAAGAGAATTTTGCCAGGACCTGAACGACGCAGCAGTAATCGTAAGTTCGTTATATACATATACATTTGATTTGGTATAATTCTTATCTACAATCATTGTGTAAGTTTATGTTGGTTGGTTGGTTGGCTGGTGTTTAACGCCACTTTTGGAACTATAAGCTTTACCGCGGAGATAAGTTTTTAGTGGTTGAGGAAAACGGAGTGTCCTACCTTTGGTAAGATAACTGGCAATGCCAGTCAATTAAGATTTGAGTTGAAAGCACCTGTCACGTGTGGGGTTAGAAGTAACAACCACAGTGTTGACAAGCTAGTGATTCAATAGATGAACTACTTTTTTTATTTTTATTTGCATTAGATGAACTTAGACCAACCGGCCAGCTATCTCCTTTTTTCCTCTTAATTTTATGCATATCTCCGCATAAGCTGTAGGATGGAAGGCCAAATAACATGATTATTTTTTTAAGAAAATGAACAAGAAATGTCAAATACAAGGAAGGTAACTTGACGTACATTAAATCATCGTAAAAACTATAAAAGACAGACAGGAACAAATTGTAAACAGCTATAATAATAAGCAATGCACGTTCTAAAAATAAGTCAAATTATCGTCAGTCGAAGACTTATACAATGTGTTGAACTTAAATGGCAATTTTTACCAACTTTTGCGTTTTTGGCTATTATTTTAAAAACTATAATAGATAGAATAAAGAGCAAAACAAAAAAAAAAAAAAAATGATCAGTTAAGACAAGATATACAAATAGGTTACATGAACGATTTCATCAATTGACTCTTTATGGAAGTTGTCATTGAATGACGATTTTACATATTGTTTGTTTTCTCATTTTCCGACTTAGATAAGTAGACAGAAACTATAAATAGCAAATATGATCAAAGCAAGATCTGTATATAGTCAATACGACAGAAATATTAAAAATAATGAGTTTTTGTCCATAATTGACAATTTAAACCTTTTTGCATTTTTATATCTCTTTCCCCAGCTCCAGAGTGGAGACTATATTGCATTCGCCTTCGTCCGTCCGTATAGGTAAAGTTGAACAAAATGAACTTCGTATTTGGTCAGCAGCTGCTTGACAGTGATCAGTTGTAACATGTGACCCTTTTCATGTCTCCTACTTCCTGTTTGCCAATACTTTGAATTTTTCAATATGTTGAATGAACTTAAACTTTTTTGTCACCCTTTTCTCAGAGTAGGCAGAATGACTTCATATTTAGTCAGCAGCTTGGCAGTGATGAGTTGTATCGGGTATGCTTAGCACCACAACCCTTTCAATCTTGTTGGTGATCATCTTGAAAACTTCAATAGAAGTAGAGAATGTGAAAAAAGCAAAATAGTTCAATAGGACAGGATTGACAAATAGGTTTGAGAGATCATCATTGCCTTTGATTTCTTCTAGAAGTTATTGACGAGAATTCATTTTAACAATTTTGATATCTTGAATACAATAAAAAATAGATACAGACTGTTAACAGTAATAATGATCAGCAGTACAAGATTAACGAAGAAGCAACTCGATAGAAATGTTTATTAGAGTTATTGCCCATTTTTGTTTTTTTTCTGAAAATAACAAAAAAAGATATAGATAGAAACTTTGACGAGCTTTGATCATCAGCGCGTTAGACATAATCTACATATAAGGGTCAACAACTGTATTATTAATTAATTACTTATATAACTTATTGCCGTTATAAAAACTCTTTTCCCTATTTTTCCATTTTGCAATTATCTTGAAAAGTATAGAAGACTAAGTAAGAAAAATGTAGAAAGTAGAAATGAATAGCAGGACAAGGGCTACAAAGGATAATCATTAATCGACTTATTATAGGAGTTACATGTTATACCCATTTGCTTTCTTGGCTATTATCATCAAAACTAAAATAAATATGTAAAACTGTAAACAGAATTGAATGAAACATGGTCTTAATATTCAATAGGGTCAAATGTGAGCGATTCAGGCACCTTGGAACATATAGCTCATTTATAAAATCAGACTGATATTCTTTAATCATTGCTGCAATGCTTTCATAGCTGTATTTAAAGTGGTTCTTATATTAACATCTTCCGTTAGTAAGATAGTAAAAACAAAATGTTTTTGTCCTTTTCGATTATATCAGCTCCTCAACCTTTCTACAAGGTTTCAATTTAAAAATACTTTGACCTCGGGCATCGCTGAAGAGACCTTAATTGTTGAAATGCGCATCTAGTGCAATAAAACTAGTACTGATTAACGTGAATGACAATTATGGAGTAAATAAGGCATTTATCACATTAAATTAATAATCACTTTTTTACTACACTGTAATCATAGAACATTGAAAAATAACAAATCTTTTTTAATGCACTGTAGTCAAACCCTTGAAATATCCTGGTACAACAAATAAATCATTAATTGTGCCTCCTTTAAACCAGCTGATATGTTTTCCAAGGCATTGCTTTGGTGTGACCGGACATCCATCCAATGCATGAAGAGAACATGCATGTATGCATAATAGTCTTTTGAATGATTGAAACGAAGTTAATTGAATATACGTAATTATAATATTATATTACTTTTTCAGAATATGTTCATGGGTCTAGATATGGATGGCGACAATCTGATTTCAGAAGACGAATTTCTTACACAGATGTGCGACAAAATTGATAGAAAGTAAGTATCTAAATGTTTAACATATATACGTAAGATATGTACACATGCTACAGTAAAGAATACTAACAACACCCCTTTAAATATACATGTAGTGCCATTTGTAAATATGTTCACATCGTTATTGACGGAAGATAGTTTGTAGGTAAAAAAAGCCTATGGCGTTCACGCTGAGGCAGATTTGTAGATAAAATTAACTTAAGAAGTTTACACGATTGGCTGATGCTAGACAAAAGATACACATAATTAGTATGAAATATTACATTGAGACAGACTAAAATGAAATATTGGTTGATCTGTAGAAATTAAGAGTTTATTGTAATTGCTTTTCGAGAACAAGAAAATGGCTATAGAAATCATGCTTTAAGCGCAGTCTCCTATAGACTACTTGCCGACATGTTCTCTGGATGTAATGTCCCAAATGGTAATCAGGTTTGAATGGTTACATATACAGCCTATGCAATCGTCCCTAAAGTAATTGTCTTACTGTCGGGCGGTCATGATACTATCAATATAATAAATAATTCGTGCATCGAGACAGTGTTCTGTTCTAGTTTATTTCATCTTCAGTATTCAACGTACGAGGTTTATACATCGGAAGAACTATGTTGTTCTTATTCTATACGTATAAATAAATGGTTTTATTTATTTCTTAAATAATTGTATTTGTATGAATAGTTTCCAATGTCACAACTACCGACTAACTGTTCCCGTCTAAATGTAATCATTTATTAAATTCTTTACGTACATTTTTTCAGACTTGCCTTCACAGAGAAATTTAAACAGATGGATGCCGATGGAAATGGATGTTTATCAAGGGACGAAATAAAGGAAGCTTTACAAGAAATCTATCAAGGTGACGAAGCTGGTATCGAGACAATGTGTGAACAATGTGACAGTAACAATGATGGAAAAATATCATGTGAAGAATTCCTTAGACATATGAAGTAAACACCGCTTGTTTTGTTAAGACTGAATTGTGTATGGAAAATCCACACTGCAGCCATGATGGCAAATTACGTCACTGACAACATAAAGGAAAGTTCCGTATGCAGTCAGATCGTTCTTGGTAGTTAACTATAGCTTATATATGCATTATAGAATAATATAAACAATGCAAAGCATGTTAATCATTAAAATAAAAAAATATATTTCTATAGCCTATGACTTTCGTTTTGTTTTGTAAAATTGTTAGAATTGCAGTATGGATAAAATTGATGTGATTGATAGTGGAAAACTTAATGTTACGGCGAGAGATTGAGATTTAGGACTTTAATTGCAAATCGAGACAATAATCTTACCAGATACCCTGATATGTGACAGAGGCTGTGGAAGGACGACCGCCTTTATTCTCGCAGCTATTCCTATGTTAACTAAATTTATTGTTTAGACGAGTATTTCATACATCAAGTGGTCGAATTAGCACCATCTTGACCAGAGTTCAATTTATTTGTGTTTTACAAGACTCACCAATATTAGGTGTATGGAAATGATAGAGATATAAGATATCAAAAGGACAATTATAAGTCACAAGTACGGAAAAACTGACAACACGATGGAAAAAAATCCCCAAACAAACGATGAATGTTTTATATTAATTTCTACTAAAAGAAAGAAAAGACAAAACGAAATAAAAAAGTGCTAGCAAGTACCTACAAATGACTTGATCAAATTCATCAATGAACTTGTCATTTTCGATTGTATATTAACTCCAATTTAAGCCATCTTTTATTTACAGTAAGGAAGTATCAAAATAATACAATGTATTTCTATACGATTCCTCATTCCTTATGGTTGATTCTTCAGACTACATGTATATTATTAGAGGTAAAAGCAATATTTAGATAAACATGATAAAAGCAACCTGAATGCGGAATAATTTTAGACATTTGATTTGTTTGTTACTGTAATGTTTGGCCGTTTCTTATATGCCGATATTATTGAATTAAGATTTTCTTCCAATTGCTTTTCCTGTAGCGTTTTGTTCTATTTATTTGTTCTGTCACTTTCCAAGGTAATGAGGGAATGTTGAGTGCTCACAAAACCCTAGCAACTTTTTGCAAGTCATAAGCGTTATCAGATACTGGTATATGCATCTTTTGAATCGTTTAATAACTAATCAAATGAGGCGAGTTGTTGATGCATCGTCGAGATTACCACCACCTCCTTTTGTTTTTCTTACGTTCATAAGATAATACCAGAAAGGTTCCTTATTTCGTGTTTATTAGAAAATGTAATCTAAAGGAATCGACGTTCTCTCTCCTTTATATAGTCACTTTCCGATAAAAAAAGAATATCTCACCATCACACGAGTTAGTATTCTCATATCTGTTGAGTTAACAATATTAATGTATAATATGTATGCAAATCAATATATTGAACCATGTATATAGTAGTCATTCCCACCGGCAATTACTTGTCTGCTTATATTTTTATATTGTAACCTTTTACAAATGTTATGAGGAGGATACAATAGGGGATTCGGTATAGAGTTTAGACCTTCATTGAAAGTTTTAGTTGTTTTAATAGTGTTACATATGATTCAATTAACTGCATGACTTGCCCTTATTACTTACAATGTATGTCAAATAAGGTAGGGTATGGTAATAATTTCTCTTTATAGCTGAAGGTTGGATATCTTATGAATGAATGGTCTTAATACGTTGTACACCTATAGTAAAATCATTGTTAAAATATTTATCACGTGACGTGAACAATAGCCCCAGGACACAGTGAAAGTTAAATCATTTATCGTGGGATAAATATTTGAATACATTAAAGAAACCGGTTGTCATCAGCAAACTCAGTCAGACAATATATTTATTACATACAAGTTGGAAGTGGCCGTCTGTTAAACTTTGTTAAAAATGTCTCATAGCGTAGAAGATATGACTGCACTTTATGATGAATACGACAAAAATGGAGATGGAAAAGTTTCTGTTCATGAATTGAAAGCTGGAATAAAAGCCAAATTTTGTGCAGATGTTGACGACAAAAAAGTAGTGGTAAGTATTTGGATTATATATGATCTTTCAAAAACATGGGAATTTAAAAACATAGTTTTGTGTTTGCATTCGTGTAAGAATGAATTTTATTCGAATATGTATATTATATATCGGACTTGGTAAATTTTGAAAATTCGAATGCATTGTTTTCTTGAATAATTATGCTCAACATCATATATGAATTAAAACTGTTATATTGAATAAAATTGGGGCATTGGATATTGAACAACGTGTCTTTGTGGAAAACATAACCTCGAACAATGATGCAGGTGACCTTTGGATTTTTTTTTTGTTTCGTTGGGTTACCGTCTAATTGACGTATACCCCGCATCATCAAAAAAGTTGAACAGCTTCCATTGCGATGAATGAAACAATTCCTAATTATTAGTTTCGTTTATTTCCAAAACGAAGTTTATAAAGAACAAGATTAAAAATCTGCTTCAACTTAGTATTAAGTATGAATTGAGAGAAACTAGTTTCATGCCTTACCGGAATCACATTTTTGACTTGAGGTATTTGAAAGTGTTGCATAATTAACAAATATGTATGGCCTTTTATAAAATTCTCCCCTTTAAGATAGTAGTTCTTATTAGAACTGAGTGAAAGTTGGTGGTCTTTAATCTAAGATTTGTTTAAGCCAATAACTTTTATCAAGATAATATTTCAGTCATGGTGCCTTGCGACAAAATGTTGCCGTTTACCTCATTGTGTGCGCTATGACAACATCCTGAAATCCGGAATCAGAATTTTAGCGACTGTAAACTGATATCTGTAAAACACAAAATTCAAGTCAGCTCGGTCCCGGTTAAATGGAATTTGTTTAACAGTATAGAAAAAGCTATTCTATTTAAATGATGAGTTTTAACTTTCCGTCTATTAAAAAGACAAATGATAGTAAAAACGCTGTTTTTTGTATTTCCAAATGCCTTTGAAATGATTAAATCCATTAAGGTGGTAACGAAAACTATTTACAATCAAAACGAAGAAGCATTTAGTTCTTAAACTAAACTAATTTGCAATCTTTTATTAGTACACATAAATGTTGGTAAATAGAGCATTAAGAATATGTGGGTGTTTAAAAGGTTACATACATATACCATTGAATACTCAGATAGACAATAGGAATTACATTGTTTATTTTGGACAGGAGTTTAAACCATTTTTACCTGGTGATTTGAATTCTCGTGTTAAATTCGCAATGTTAAAAGTACAACGAACATTTTAACTTTAAAATAATTGAACAGTTGTCATATGGTTTGAGTAGATTAATTTCTAAATATGAAAAAGATGAAAAAAAAAAAAAACAATTTACATCTATTTCAAATTCATATTGTTGATGATTTATATTTTGTATAATGATGATTTTGATTTTGAGAGAGGTTTCAGTATATTGTTTTTTTTTTATTACAAATGTATTTGTAGGCTGTATTCCAAGGTTTAGACATGGATGGTGATAACTGTATAACAAAAAGTGAATTTCTTGATCAGATGTGTAGTAAAATTTCCCGGAGGTAAGACCGACATGTCCAACATTAAGATATTATCTTTATCATTAATCTTGACAAATTTTCGTGATTCAAACTACGCATCTTTCCTTTGTAGAAAAAAAGAATGACAACGATTTATCTTTCATCAGGTAATCTCGACGCAAAGGTTTGGAAAAGACCAACATCGTAAACTTTGAGGAGCATAAGAATTAAAAAAAAAATAAAAATAATAAAAAAAAAAAACACAGAACAGGACAGGACAGGACAGCAAAAACTGTCTAAAGTAAAATTTACTCCAGGGAGTTTCAACCTCAGCTTAAGAACAATTTATGAACTGGAAAAAAAGAACAAAATCAAATTAAATCAGTACCGGATTTCATAAGGTTAATTTTTATTTTCCTTCACATTTTGTTTTCTGATCCGAATGAACCGACCGATATTGCTACGTTCGGAGCACTGCCAATGTGGCAATCGACTAAAGACGTCGAAAGTAGTGCTAAAGTTATTCATAGTTGCTAGTAACTTGTATGAGATGAATTTATTAGCTATGTTATTGTCAACACTTCTCTCAATACGTATAGAAAGATCAAATATAAAATAATGACTGTTCAAACAGGATATCGAAAACTTTTGTAGTAACGTGGCACGCATTATAATATAACACAGGAAATGTTAAAGCTACACTGGTTGTAAAGTGTTCAACTGATACCGACAATATTTGCAATGGAACCATTTTACTTAATTGGTGATGAATTGATAGAAAAAGGTAATTTTTATTGTGAAGTACTAGATATAAAATATCTATAATAGATGAATGATCATACGGGGAAAATTCGTTTTAAAAATTTAAAAACTCGTCGATTTCATTAAAGTGAACGGAATGTCCATTTATTTGAGCCCTCTTAAAAGTAATCTGGATGAAAAATGTTCAAAGTCAAAAGTAAGAAAGACAATAGAAATATGGAATAAACATACATAAACTGTATATTTCAACATTTATCTACTAAACATTCGTAGTCGATGCCATTACGGCAGAGACTCTCGAGTAAACATTCGTAGTCGATGCCATTACGGCAGAGACTCTCGAGTAAACATTCGTAGTCGATGCCATTACGGCAGAGACTCTCGAGGTTTTACCGATCCGCCCTGACGAAGGACCTCAATAGATACAAAAGTACAGGTATCTGATTTAATGACTAAAAGAAGGTATCTGATTTGATGCAATCTTGTAAACTGTTTTAAACTCAGAATATGTCTTTTTACGTGTAACAATCTATTGATTTGACATGTTATTTCAGAGTTGGATTCAGTAAGCAGTTCCAACAGCTAGATAAAGATAACAGTGGATACCTCACACTAGAGGAGGTTAAACCATTGTTACAAAAAAATTACGACGATGGAAAAATTGAACAAATGTTCAAGGATGTTGATGCAGATAGCAATGGCAAAGTCTCATGTGAAGAATTCCTTAAACTTATGTAACTTTTGTTTGAACAATATGACATTTTTACACATATAGTTATTTCATGTTTGAACAATATGACTTTTTTACACATATTTTTATTTCATCTTGCCATATCAGATGTCTTTGTTACTTTTCGAAATATAATTGTTTCTTTTACTAAGTATTATCGAAAGATTATCCTCGGTAGATAACAGTGGACGATTAATTTAGACTTGTTTGATACACTTTTCCTAAATTTTTATAGTATGTCTGACTTTAGGTAGCTTGCTGTAATGATATTAACTTTGACTATACGATGAATTTACCTGTTAAATTTGAAGAAAACAAAAATGATTTGCAATGTTGATTTCAACTACAAATAAATATTAAGATTTTTCCATTGTGATAAATACTCAAAAATACCTTCTGAATCAATGCAATATTAGCTTTTATAGTATTCACAGTTTACATTACATTATATTATATATATTACATTTTATTAAACTAACAAAATATCGAACTTTTCGAGTTTGCTTATTGTATACAAACAAATTGCACGTTTTTATTGATATTAACCGAGAATTGTAAAAAAAAAGTCCAGCTTTAAAACAACCGAAAGGTTGAGTCAAAAAGGTTTCAGGAGATAAAATCGTGAAAATTATTAGTTAAAAAATATCGGGTATACAAGGTCGAAAACCAACCTAACAACACATAAGATATCGGGTATACAAGGTCAAAAAGTAACCCAACAACACACAAGATATCGGGTATACAAGGTCGAAAAGTAACCCAACAACACACAAGATATCGGGTATACAAGGTGGAAAAGTAACCCAACAACACAGAAGATTTTGGGTATACAAGGTCGAAAAGTAACCCAACAACGCAGAAGATATCGGGTATACAAGGTCGAAAAGTAACCCAACAACACAGAAGATTTTGGGTATACAAGGTCGAAAAGTAACCCAACAACGCAGAAGATATCGGGTATACAAGGTCGAAAAGTAACCCAACAACACAGAAGATATCGGGTATACAAGGTTGAAAAGTAACCCAACAACACAGAAGATGTCGGGTATACAAGGTCGAAAAGTAACCCAACAACACACAAGATATCGGGTATACAAGGTCGAAAAGTTACCCAACAACACAGAAGATATCGGGTATACAAGGTCGAAAATTAACCCAACAACACAGAAGATATCGGGTATACAAGGTCGAAATGTAACCCAACAACACACAAGATTTCGGGTATACAAGGTCGAAACGTAACCCAACAACACACAAGATATCGGGTATACAAGGTCCAAAAGTAAACCAACAACACAGATAGAGGTGATTATACCATATGCACTTTAATCTGTTGGTCGCATGGAAAGGTGTACAGACAAATCATAGAAGTACATGTATAACTTTGGACTTGTATTGTATTTTACACTGAATCCGAGAAAAAAATTGTACATTAATTGTACATATGCATTATATTTGAAAAAAATACACAAAACCTCACAATTTATAATAACACAATTCATGAACTTGGAAATGACAAACCAACACCTCCACAAAACGAACTAAATACGATGCACATTTTACTATTCAACATGAATATGAGAACAGTAATATAGAGTTAACATTCATATCTTCCCACGACGATAACCTGTACCGTCAAGGAAAAGGAATTTTTATTTAAAAACGACATTTAATAACATCCATCAAGGTTTAAAAACAAATTAGGTATGTACTCCTTGATTAAACAAGCGTGGTGTTTACCAGTTTATACCAAATGACACTGAATATATTGAAGTTGCGATTCAGTCAGTGACCTTAATTTGCATATTGAATAGGAGAATGAAATATAATTATCAAAAACTACAAATGTACTGATTTTTATGAAGATATATAGAGAAAAGCATCCTCTAAAAAATCGTTTCTACTCAGCTAAAGTCCCAAATTGTTAATTGACGAAGAATACTACAGTAAAATCATTCATAGCAGTTAAGTCTACAGGCAATCCAGCTATATTCTAATTCTGTAACAAATTAAAATCTAAAGCTTTAAACTAAATATTAGATTTCAAATCTGTCTTTATCTAGGTAATTATTATTAAATAAAATTTAAAAGATTCATCGAATCCTTGTTCCTTCGTCAGGGGATGATCCAGGTATTGAGGTAAGGGGAGTGACCTTAATAAATTCGCCGAGCGTAGTAGGATAGAAAGTTTTTTAACGTTTTTACATGCAAACAAATAATTTCATTTAACCTTGTGGAAAGTTAGTTCATATTTTCGTTATTAAAGTGTACAATACAGCACACGGTTGTCAGAGAAATAAAAGGTCGTAAATGCATGGCCGATACGACCAAACCTTTTTTGCGTCTTAAAAATCAGACATACATGTCCTTTAAAGTTATATGATCCTGTAAATTTAACAAAAAAGGGAATGTTATATATATTTGAATTTTCAGTTTTATTATGCAACACGTATGACCAGACTTTCTTTTAAGAGAAACTCCTTTATATTACTGTATCAAAATCTTCAGAAAAGTAAGTTACTTTTGAAATATTATCTTTCCGCACTATAATTCACCGACAGCTTTTCCGTATGCAGTGACCTTAACCATTACACATGACAGCGCAAGTGCGAAGGGAAAACCGTGTGAAAGAGAAAATAAAAAAACATGGAAGTAAGATAGTATTAACCGTTTCTGAAAGAAGAAAGCTTAAAACACAAATACATTTAACATGTTATGATAAATGAGAACGCATGGAAAATAAATTAAAAGCAAATAAAAATCGCGCTATCCTCTTTCTTATTTTGACCGGGCCTCGGTGGCCGAGTGGCCTAAGTAGTAAAATTACTGTACTTAATTGACTATAATTTTCAGTTTTCCTACTAAAGGTAGGAGGTTCTATCCGTGTACTCCAGCTTCCTCCACAAATAAAAAATGACCTCCAAGAAATAGCACAAAAGTGCTGAAAGTGGCGTTAAACACAAATCAATCAATCAATCAATCTTACTTATTTTTTCATGTGCTTCATGATTCTGTAAGTATCGGTAATATTGGGCATCCGAAAGTTAATTAGCAGGCAAAATTTTCGATAAAATATCGCCGAATGAAAGATCGTTTGTCGATTATACATTATTGATTCGTAATAAATGCAAACAAGAATGTGTCCATAGTACACGGATGCCCCACTCGCACTATCATTTTCTATGTTCAGTGGACCGTGAAATTGGGATCAAAACTCTAATTTGGCATAAAAATTAGAAAGATCATATCATAGGGAACATGTGTACTAAGTTTCAAGTTGATTGGTCTTCAACTTCATCAAAAATTACCTTGACCAAGAACTTTAACCTGAAGCGGGACAGACGGACGAACGAACGAACGAACGGACGCGCAGACCGAAAACCATAATGCCCCTCTACTATCGTAGGTGGGATATAAAAATATGCACAGAGAACTTAGTTAAGTTTATATGCATTCATTGGCCAATAATTTCCTTAACATTATTATCACCAGAAACTCGTTTAACATGACTTTAATCTAACATTTAAATGGTTTTGTTAGCATGGCAGTTCCATGACAAATGTACAGTATAGGTCGAATATCTACACTAACTTTTCTTCATGATGCAGAAGTTCTAATCTACCACTTTGGATAACTCGTTACAAATGGTGTTCTTTATACAAATCAATATAAAAAAGGTCATCATTGGCAGATACGACAAAACGCTTTGCTATCTCGAAAACCATGTATTTATAAAGGTTACTCGGGAACACGTGTATTTGTTTACTTTTAACACGTGTGTTTAAATCAAAACATGTTTATGTTTAATTTGATTGGACCATCAGTAAGTTATTACCGGTTTAAGTTATATCAATCATGATAACTTCATGCTAGAATTTTAGCGCTAAAATTATAATAAGATATCTAGAATTGTCATTCGAGGTTCGCCTATCCGACAGAAAGGTTCGTTTTCCCACCCACCCACCCCTTTTATTAAGACTTCATAGGAATGTGAATCAGTATGTTATGTAGAAAATAGTTGATAAAATACATGTATGTAAATCGAAATGATTTTTTCTTCAACTTATAGAACATTTTTCTATTGTAGATTGTGTTTATATGTGATGGCAGCGGTCGATGACAGCAAATTGGACATTTGTTTATTGTTTATAATAAAAATAAGCTTTCTGTGCTGTCGGGGCGAGCTGATAACCAAAAACTGTGTTGAGTTTTTACTTTGTAAATGCTTTATGTTCGTTTGAAGTATTGAATAAGAACATAAATGAATTTAACCAACATTGAAGATATAAATACCCTTTTATGACGAAGACATTCTCATTACTTTTTATGCAGAATTCATTAATATTGACGGGGTTCGACCTACTTTATAAACTCTATGTGTAAACTTTTCTTATTAAACATATCGTTCTATATGTTTACCAGCAAAAAGTGATTTTTATTACAGACCATGTTTTATAACACACAGAGTTGCCACATAGCTTTGGTATAGCAGCTGACATTGTCTTATTCATTTTAGTCAGCAATAAAAGACTAGTATTAGTAGTGTTTACCTAGATAGCGTGAAAACAAATAAATCAATATATGTAGACTTGTAGTAGAGTGGGTGGCGCATATTCGCCTTGGACACATTTTCGACGTTTTGCTATTTTTTCTGTAAAATTTGTGTGCCTTTACCCAATACTTGCCTAAATAGATGATAAAGGCTGTTTGTGATGTTCGAACTGTTGATATTCCTCTTTATCCCATTTCCAAGGTTATTTGCACATATAAAGAAAAACGCAGGTGTTTTTAAACAATTTTGGCAATTATGTAAGATTTATATGGTAATCATGCGCAGTCTTAAAGTAAATATTTGTGAAAAAAATCGTATAGGAATGATCTAATTCATGTAATTGCAAACATTCGTTTTTACAATATACCAGGATAATGAGGATAGTCATATCATACATTGCGGCGAAAATGTGTCCCCCATGGTACACGAACAACTTGATTTCCTCTTGAGTTTGCGTTCGTTTTTACAACAATTAACCAATGTTTTGAAGATAATTCCTTTATCAAACATTTTTTTCATATAGTTAAATTTTTGAAACCTACATAAAAAGTTCCAAATATTCGAATGTAAGTCGGATGTAAGTGGAATCGAACGAATTATGCGGCGAATATTGGTCGCTCACTCTATATGCCTTTGATTGAAATCATTAGCCGTTTTCATTTTCATTTCTGTGTTATGTTTATTTACAGCTACTCAAAAACCAAGAATAGACATTTTATGGAATTTTAAATCATTAATGTTAGTACCAGATATATATAGATGATCGACTCAATATGTAGAGTAATACCCTACATGTATGAGTAACGTCACGGTACCCAAATTGCACCTTTTTAACGAAAATAGCAGCGGAAATCTTACAAGTTTTTCTAGAGACTAAACAATTTGTATTTTTATGATTTGATACTATGCACGTCTTTCAACATAGGTAAATATATCTA